TACTGGAGCTAGTGGTCCTACTGGAGTTGGAGCTGCTGGGGCTGGAGCTGCTGGAGGCGCTGCTGGCGCTGGTGCTTCTGAGGGCGCTGGAGTTGGCACAATTGGAGCTGGAGGTGCCGCTGGGGGTACTCGTGCTGTCTCTGCTGGTTCTGAAGGTGCTGCGCGGCCGCGGCTGTACTTCGTTCCGCTCCTTCTGAAGGTTCTTGGTCTTCCGCCTTCTACTGGTCCTGCTCCTCCCTTAGCGTGTCCACAGCCTGTCCAGTCGCGGTCACAGTTACAACCCACCTCCCCCTTGCCTGCTGCTTCTCCCTACACTGGTCCTACTGGAGGTCTTGCTGAGCGTCGTGAGCCTGCGTCTCGTGCTGCTCGCACTAGTAGTTGTGCTCTGCGTCCACGTCCTCCTGCGGTCTCAGGCACACACCGGATGGCACTGCGTCCTTCCATTGCTCCTCTGCGTGTCCAGTTGCCGTCTCCTCAAGAGTCCTCTCTTCCTGTCTTTGCAGACCCGGAGTCTGACGCTCGTCGTGCTACCAGTCCTACTATCACGCGTCTCCTGGCTACTTTTGTCAATGACCCTTTCTTTGAGTCCACTGTTGCGTTTGCCTTAGTTGTTGAGCTTCTCGACTTTGCTGCTCGCTGTCGTCTAGACTACTCTGTGAGTCTTGTTGCTGATTCTGAGTCTGTCTGTCCTCAGTCCGTCGGGGGTGAGTGTGCTCTTAGCACGGACGTCCTTGAGGACAGGCAGGAGGAGTTCCAGTGTTTTGCTGCTACTTTGCCTCATCTCGTGTCCACGCTGATTGCCCTTGAGGGAGACCCGGATGCACCAGACATCTCAACTCCTCGATCGTACGCTGAGGCGATCGAGGGTCCCTACTCCTCTCAGTGGCAGTCAGCCATGGACGCAGAGATGGCTTCCTGGAAGTCCACAGGCACCTACGTCGACGAGGTTCCCCCACCTGGGGCGAACATCGTCAGTGGCATGTGGATTTTCAGGGTGAAGCTGCCGCCTGGTTCTCCGTCTGTCTTCAAGGTGCGTTACGTGGCTCGAGGCTTTAGAAAGCGGCAGGGAGTTGACTACTTTCAGACCTTCTCTCCCACCCCGAAGATGACCACTCTTCTAGGGCTGCTGCACATAGCCACTCAGCGCGACTACGAGCTTCACTCTCTTGACTTCAGCACAGCTTTCCTGCAGGGCAGCCTGCACCAGGAGATTAGCTGCGTCGCCCACCTGGCTTCACTGGGTCGTTTCCTCCTGGTACTGAGTGGAACCTCCGGCGGCCAGTCTACGGTCTCCGTCAGGCGCCCCGTGAGTGGCACGACACACTGAGGACTACACTTGCGGCTCTTGGGTTTGCTCCTTCTACTGCCGACCCGTCGCTGTTTCTACACACCGACACCTCTTTGCCGTCGTTCTTCATCCTCGTGTACGTCGACGACTTGGTCTTTGCTACTGCTGACACTGCTGGACTCGCCCACGTGAAGTCCGAGCTGCAGAAGAGACACACGTGCACAGACCTGGGTGAACTGCGCAGCTACCTTGGCTTGCAGATCACCCAGGACAGAGCACATTGCACCATTACCCTGACTCAGTCACACATGGTGCAGCAGGTCCTTCAGCGCTTTGACTTCACATACTCCTCGCCTCAGGCCACTCCTCTGTCTACTCGCCACTCGCTCTCAGCTCTGCCTTCGAGTGAGTCCGTAGAGCCGAGTGGCCCATACCCAGAGCTTGTTGGCTGCCTCATGTACCTGATGACCTGCACACGACCTGACCTAGCATACCCTCTTATCATCTTGGCACGTTATGTTGCTCCTGGGAGACACCGACCAGAGCACATAGCTGCAGCAAAGAGGGTGTTGTGCTACTTGTGCAGTACGTCGGGCATGGGGCTAGTGCTTGGAGGGCGACGTCAAGTGGTCCTCACAGGTCACGCAGACGCTTCTTGGGCTAACGACCAGGCTACGGAGCGGTCGTCACAGGGTTACACCTTCAGCCTTGGCTCCGGCTCTGTTTTGTGGCGGTCTACCAGCTCGACTTCTGTTCTCGGCTCTAGCTGTGAGGTTGAGATCTACGTGGGGGCCATGGCTGCATAGGAGCTACGCTGGCTCACCTACCTGGTGACTGACCTAGGAGAGCCGCCTCGTTCTCCTCCAATTCTGTACGTAGACAACAAGGCTATGCTGGCCTTGTGTCGGGAGCACAGACTGGAGCACAAAAGAAAGCACATTGCTCTTCGCTACTTCCTTGCTCGTGAGCTGCAGCAGCGTGGTCAGCTGCGCCTTGCTTACGTGGCCTCTGAGGCCAACACTGCTGATATCTTTACCAAGGCACTTCCGCCTTGTGATCATCAGCGCTTCTGTACGATGTTAGGTCTTGTGCCTACTTGGCCTCACTTGCTCACTTCTTGACCTTGCTTGTATTGTGATCTTTCTATACCTGCACTTGCTTGTTTACCTTCATATATATGATCTTGCATGTGAACTGGCGTTAAGGCCTTGCTCTTGTGCTCGGACTGTGTGTTTACGTTGTGATCCACCCTGAGCTTGCTTTGCTTTGCTTGATTGGTCTTGTGACCTCTTGTTCTCCCCCACTTTGCCTATGGGGGTGTGTCAAACTCTTATGCTATGGTCTGTGTAGGCTGTAGTGGGGTAGACAATATGGGGTACAACACTTCTAGGTTTTCCTACTTGTACCCACCTGCTTGCTAGTTCATTCATTCCTCATTTCTTCACAGAGGGCGGTGCGAGTCTAGTCCACAGGATTGAGAAAAATGTGAAACACGCCGCGTCGTGCAAATATTTCTACAGATTGTCACGACTTCGTGTTAGAAAGGGTAGTTAGAAGGAAGGAGCCATAGCTAGGGTTTAGGAAGGTAGGCAAGAGAGAATAGGCAAGAGAGGGTTTGACTAGAAAAGAGGGAGGTACAAATAGCAAGCCCTAAATGGGTTATACTCACTATTGAGTACGCCACTACAGACTAGAGAAGCATTATATTCTGACACTTCGGGCCAGTTCATGAGCCACGGAAGAAAGACAGAAATTTCTAGTTTGAATGAAGCTTTCAATCGCATTGTTGAGGGCTCTACAGTGCGGGTTGTAGGGTAAAACACATGTGTTTTACAGCAGCGACGCGAACACCATCGAAAATTTATTCCGCGCCGTCTTCAATCCCTGTTCTCCCCCCCCCCCCCCCCCCCCCCCCCCCTTGGCGGAAAGCTTCCGCCCTAGTGCGACGGAAGAAGAAAGTGATTCTTTGAAAACAGAAGAATCAACTTTTTGATTCCACAAGAATCACTGTTTACGGGACAACATTGCACCATACGAGATAAAGGGTTACTTCACAAAAGGACCCTACTGGAGGGCAAATGTGCATGGGACTTTTTCTTAGGGCGAGAATTTCCGATTTCCTACAGTGCTCTGGGACATTCTTATTTGAGGGCAAATGTGCCTCGGCCTGCGGCGTTTTTTCCTATCTCTCCCCTCCAACTTGCGCCGGCTCCCCCATGGCGCAGGCTGTCCGCGGTGCGGTCAAACCAGGGTCAAAATTCGTTGACCCTGGGTTGATGCAGGCCTCACCTATCTCCTAATCATCCTAGCATTTTTCTTTCCCCTGGCTGCCGAACTGGGCCTTCAAACCTCGAGAATCTCATGTTCCTTGAAGCAAAACAAGGGCCCAGTTCGGCAGCCACGGGGAAGCAATTTTTCTTCCGCCCTTCTTCCTTGGCTGCCGAACTGGGCCAAGGTACCTATGTCACACATAATGCCTCAATCAAATCTCTACTTTCGCGAGCCGAATTGGGGTTATCCAAGCAACTCAGAGTAGGGCGAAGTTGATGCGAAAAATGCGTGACCGTTCCAGTCACTGATGCGGCGACCAAGAACTATAGAAGGGCAGCGCCAACATGTTTTTGGGTTGCGTAGCAACCTTATACATTCGTTTTCACTTTTCGGTTGGCTGATGTGAACAGTGAATTTCTCTTATAAATTTTGAAAGAAATAACTGTTCACATAGCTTCCCCAAAAATGTGAAAACAAATGTTTCCAATCATTCCATAATCGTCGATAAGTACGACGAATGGAACAATTGGAGAATTGTTCTAGCACTAAAGATGATATGGTACCGAATGACACACGAACACAAAGGACAACACAAAAAATACTACAGTACCACCAAGAAACACACATACACAAATGACCACAAAAACGATGGTGTACAAGAACCGTCGTACATGTTTTGAAGGGGATAGTAAATGCATCAATGCAACAACTGAGACTGATATGGTACGGAAGAGGCGAGCAAAGCTGCCCCACCGACGATCACAATCCCAGTTGCATACACGATACACTTAGCACCACACCCCCGAAACAAGCACAGACGATAACACATAAATGATTATAAAAGCAGAAGACAACGTTTAAGAATGTTTCAAAGCGGATGCTAAATGCATCAGTGCTGCAACTGAGATTGATATGGTACGGAAGAGGCTAGCAAAGCTGCCCCACCGACGATCACAATCCGAGTTCCATTCACGAGGCACTTAGCACCACACCCTGAAGCACGCACAACACACGTATGCACATGTACGCAATCACACACATACACGCTCACACATATACAGACACACACAACGCAAAAACATACAGCTATTGTAATAAGCATGCAAGCATAATGAATGAATTTCAGCCTTGTATAAATTAATTATCTCTATCTTGTCCCCCGTTCCCCTCCCTCCCTCCCTCCCTCCCTCATTTCCCTCATCTCCCTTCTCCCCATCTCTTTTCTCCACAAGAAACAAAGGCTGCAGCTTGTACTCCTTGCACAGGAAAGGAAAATCAGCGAATGCAACTCACTCCCTGCACAAACAAGAACAAAACCAGAGAATACAACTTGCATTAGTTGCACAAGAAAACAAAATCAGAGAATGCAGCTGAAAAACAAAGTAAGCGCAACAGAAATTCACACGCAAACTCCCACGTTCTCTCACGCGCTCCCACGCTCTCAGGGGGGAGCGGCGACGGCGGGGAGGAGGGAGAGGCAACCACGAGGAGGGAGAGGGGACGGCGGGGAGGAGGGAGAGGCGACGGCGGGGAGGAAGGAGCGGCGACGGCGGGGAGGAAGGAGCGGCGACGGCGGGGAGGAAGGAGCGGCGACGGCGGGGAGGAGGGAGAGGCGACGGCGGGGAGGAGGGAGAGGCGACGGCGGGGAGGAGGGAGAGGCGACGGCGGGGAGGAGGGAGAGGCGACGGCGGGGAGGAGGGAGAGGCGACGGCGGGGAGGAGGGAGAGGCGACGGCGGGGAGGAGGGAGAGGCGACGGCGAGGAGGAGGGAGAGGCGACGGCGGGGAGGGGGGAGAGGCGACGGCGGGGAGGAGGGAGAGGCGATGGCGGGGAGGAGGGAGAGGCGACGGCGGGGAGGGGGGAGAGGCGACGGCGGGGAAGAGGGAGAGGCGACGGCGGGGAGGAGGGAGAGGCGACGGCGGGGAGGAAGGAGAGGCGACGGCAGGGAGGATGGAGCGGCGACGGCGGGGAGGAGGGAGAGGCGACGGCGGGGAGGAGGGAGAGGCGACGGCGGGGAGGAGGGAGAGGCGACGGCGGGGAGGAGGGAGAGGCGACGGCGGGGAGGAGGGAGAGTCGACGGCGGGGAGGAGGGAGAGGCGACGGCGGGGAGGAGGGAGAGGCGACGGCGGGGAGGAGGGAGAGGCGACGGCGGGGAGGAGGGAGAGGCGACATCGGGGAGGAGGGAGAGGCGACGGAGGGGAGGTAAGGAAGAGGAGATCGCGGGTTGGGGCTGAGTGACTGTAAGGTGAATAGGAGAGGTGAAGGTGGGTAGTGAGGGAGAGGATACGGCGGGATAGGAGCAAGAGCGACGGCTGGGTGCAGGCCTCTTGATATCAGGGTAAATCACCCTTATGGCCCTTACTATAAGGGTGGGTTTAGGTGTTCACCCTGATTTTACAGAGTTGTATTTTAGGGCGCCCTAACAATAAAAAGTGATTTTTTGTGTATCACTGATATTTCAGACCGACCTGGTATACTCGCCCTGATGACAACGAGTAGTGTTGGGTACCGCCCTGATGCGATTTTTTAAGGGGGGGGGGGGGGGGGGGGGGGGGGGGGGGGGTGTGGGGGGGTGATTCACCGACGTGATTTCTGCCGCGATTAGCGGCGATTTGCCCGAGTCACCAGAATTGCGCGTTGCCAAGACCACTCGCGTCGCCACAGCCACATGCATTTTGCCTGCCTGGCGATGACACACAGCGCCACACAGGTGTGCATCGTCCAGGAGAGTCCTGCTTGGTCCCTTCCTCCCTCCCCACCAGACCCCCACCCACCGACCAGCCGCTCTCACCCAACCCCAACCCAATCAGTTCATTTTATTAATCCAGTTTTCCTCCTCGTGGTCTTGTCTAGGGTTTGCAGACCACGCCTTCCTGCTGCTATTATAAGCATAACTCCAGCATCTACCTCCAAGTCCCTCGTCATAGCTGTTGTCACCAGCGCTGAGGATGACGACGAGGCTCGTCGTCAGGTCCTGCACTCACCCTCATGAAAGGGCCTTCGCTTTTTAACAGTGCCTTCTAAGCGACTGCTTGAACCAGAGCCCGTCGTCGCCTCTACTAAGGCTGAGACCGCGTTGGCTGAAGCGGGGCGTGACGTGCACCACGACGCCTGAACTGACACCACGAAAAGCACAACACATGTTGAGAAAACTGAAACGAGAATGATGCCTGGAATGTGGTACAAATATGCAATCCTAGAAATGTGTACCCCATATGGGCCACTCCACTACAACCTACAGAACATTATGATTTGACACACCCCCATAGGCAAAGTGGGGGAGAACAAGGGGTCACAAGACCAGTCAAGCAGAACAATGCAAAGCTCAGGGTGGATCACAAAGTCACCACACATTCCGAGCACAAGTTCAAGGCCAGAAGGCCAGTTCACATGCAGGAGCACATATATATATAAAAGGCTAAACAAGCAAGAGCAGGAGTATATATATGTGACAGTACAAGCAAGGTCAAGAAGTGAGCAAGTGAGGCAAGGCAGGCACAAGACCAAGCTGAGTACAGAAGCGCTGATGTTCACAAGGCGCAAGTGCCTTAGTGAAGATATCAGCAGTGTTGGCCTCAGAGGCCACGTACGCAAGTCGCAACTGACCACGCTGCTGCAGCTCACGAGCAAGAAAGTAGCGGAGAGCAATGTGCTTCGTTCTGTGCTCCAAGCGCTGCTCCGAACACAAGGCCAGCATGGCCTTGTTGTCTACGTACACCACTGGAGGAGAACAAGGCGGCTCTCCGAGGTAAGTCAGCAGGTAGGTGAGCCAGCGAAGCTCCTGAGCAGCCATGGCTCCGGCGTAGATCTCAGCCTCACAACTGGAGCCGAGAACGGAAGACAAGCGAGTAGCCCTCCACAAAACAGAGCCGGAACCAAGGCTGAAGGTGTAACCCTGTGACGACCGCTGTGTAGCCTGGTCGTCAGCCCAAGAAGCGTCCGCGTGCCCAGTGAGGACCACTGGACTCTGCCCTCCAAGCACTAGCCCCATGCCCGACGTACTGCACAAGTAGCGCAACACCCTCTTCGCTGCAGCCATGTGCTCCGGTCTGTGTCTCCCAGAAGCAACATAGCGTGCAAGAATGCTAAGAGGGTATGCAAGGTCAGGTCGTGTGCAGGTCATTAGGTACATAAGGCAGCCAACAAGCTCTGGGTACGGGCCACTCGACTCTACGGACTCATCCGAAGGCAGAGCTGAGAGCGAGTGGCGAGTAGGCAGAGGAGTGGCCTGAGGCGAGGAGTACGTGAAGCCGAAGCGCTAAAGGACCTGTTGCACCATGTGTGACTGAGTCAGGGTAATGGTGCGACGTGCTCTGTCCCGGGTGATCTGCAAGCCAAGGTAGTTGCGCAGTTCACCCACGTCTGTGCACGTGTGTCTCTTCTGCAGCTCGGACTTCACGTGGGCGAGTCCAGCAGTGTCAGTAGTGGCAAAGACCAAGTCGTCGACGTACACGAGGATGTAGAACGGCGGCAAAGAGGTGTCGGTGCGCAGAAACAGCGACGGGTCGGCAGTAGAGGGAGCAAACCCAAGAGCCGCAAGCGTAGTCCTCAGTGTGTCGTGCCACTCACGCGGTGCCTGGCGGAGACCGTAGACTGGCCGCCGGAGGCTCCACTGGGTGCCAGGAGGAAAAGTCCCAGTGAAGCCAGGTGGGCGGCGCAGCCTGATCTCCTCGTGGAGGCTACCTTGCAAAAAAGCAGTGCTGAAGTCAAGAGAGTGAAGCTCGTAGTCGCGCTGAGCGGCTATGTGCAGCAGCACCCGAAGATTGGTCATCTTCGGGGTGGAAGAGAAGGTCTGAAAGTAGTCAACTCCCTGCCGCTGATTGAAGCCACGAGTCACGTACCGCGCCTTGAAGAAAGGTGGAGAACCTGGCGGCCGCTTTACCCTGAAGATCCACATGCCACTGACGATGTTCGCCCCAGGTGGGGGAACCGCGTCAACGTAGGTGCCTGTGGACTTCTAGGAAGCCATCTCTGCATCCATAGCTGCCTGCCACTGAGAGGAGTAGGGACCCTCTACGACCTCCGCGTAAGAGCGCGGAGTCGGGATGTCAAGTGCATCCAGGTCTCCCTCAGGGGTAAGCAGTACGGACACGAGATGAGGTGAAGCAGCACTCAGACACTCGAACTCCTCCTGCCTGTCCTCAAGGACGTCCGTGCCAAGGGCACACTCACCCCCGACGGACGGAGGACAGACAGACTCAGACTCAGCGACAAGACTAGCAGCGTAGTCTAGACGACAGCGAGCAGCAAAGTCGACGAGCTCAGCAACTAGGGCAGACGCAGCTGTGGACTCAAAAGAAGGGTCACTGATGACAGTAGCAAGGAGACGCGTGACAGTAGGAGTGGCAGCACGAAGAGAGTCCGACTCCGGGTCGGCAAGAGTAGGAAGAGAGGATTAAGGAGGAGAAGGCAAAGGGGCACGCAGAGGAGCAGTGGACGGACGCAGAGACATCCGGTGCGTGCCAGGGACAGGAGGAGGACGCTGACGCGAACCGCAACCACTAGTGCGAGCAGCACGGACAGGCGACGCAGGGTGAGACGCAGGCTCACGACGCTTAGCAAGACCTCCAGTAGGACCAGTGTAGGGAGACGGAGCAGGCAGTGGGGAGGCCGGCAGTAACTGTAGCTGTGACTGGTCAGGCGGTGGACACTCTAAGGGAGGAGGAGGACTAGTAGAAGGCGGGAGACCAAGAACCTGCTGAAGAAGCGGAACGAAGTACGGCCGAGGCCGCGCGGCAACTCCAGACACACCAGGGACAGCACCAGCACCCCCAGCGGCAGCACCAGCGCCAACAGTACCTCCAGTTGCAGTACCTCCAGCAGCACCAGCAGCACGACCGCCGCGAGGACTGACAGTAGTAGCCTCAGCGCCAACACTCTCAGTAGCTCCAGCTCCAGTCGTAACCGCAGGCCCAGCAGCTCCAACACTCCAAGTACGAGCACCTCCGGGACCGGCGGCACTAGCACCCTCAGCATCCGAAGAAGCACCAGCACCAGCAGAACGCCTCCTGCGCCGGGCAAACCACTCGCGCAGCTCCTGTGAAGAGAGTGGCTCCCGCCGAGACGAAGCACCCGGAGTACCTGCAGGCCCAGCACCGCCAGACGCCACACAAGCAGGCCCAGCGGCCGCCGGCTCCGCACCCCCAGGCTCAGCAGCTCCAGACGTGGCACCCCCAGGCTCAGCACCCCCAGGCGTAGCACCCCCAGGCCCAGCACCCCCAGGCGTAGCACCCCCAGGCCCAACACCCCCAGTCTCAGCACCCCCAGGCTCAACACCCCCAGTAGTACCACCCGAAGGCCCAGCACCCCCAGGCGTAGCACTCACACGCTCAGTACCCCCAGAGTCAGCACCCCCAGGCTCAGCACCCGTAGCAGCACCAGAGTCACCAGTAACCTCGACAGGCTCGACTGCGTCTACCTGGGACACACCTGAAGGGGCAGGACCCTGAGGGGGGATGGGGTCTACCGGGGGGGGACCTGGCACAAGGAAGAGCGGTGGCGGGGGGAGGGAAGGAGTGCGGTAGGGGAAGAGGCAGTAGTAGGGGACCGACTCGTCAAACGTGACGTCCTGGGAGGACAGAAAACGACGAGAGGTGGGGTGGTAGAACTGTCACCCTGGCGCGTTAGGGGGGAAGCCAAGGAAGACTCAAGGAGCAGCACGAGGGGACAGTTTGTCTGCAGACAAGTCGGGGACAAACGCCCGAGATCCCCAGACACGGAACGCAGACGCATCGCCTACCTTCCCCGTCCACAGCAAAGCTGGGGAGGTCTGCGGCATGGAGACCCTGGGGTGAAGGTTGATCTGATGCGCCGCGTACTGAACCGCAAACGGCCACAGAAAATGGGGGGCAGCCGCATGCATCATGGATGTACGGGCGACGTCCATGACCATGCCAATGCGGCGCTCAGGAATCCCATTTTGCTGTGGAGAGTCCGGAAGCGTAAAGGTCTGGCGGATGCCTCGCGCACGACAGTAGGCTCGCAGAAGGCCAGAGGAGAACTCCCCGCCTCGGTCAGAGTGCAGACGCAGAACAAGTAAGTCCGAGCCGAAGCTCCTCCTGAGCTGGAGACGAGCTGCGCGGATCCAGTCGATCAACACCTCAGTGACATCACCCTTGCTGCGCAAGGGGAAGACTGTGGTGTAACGCGAATAGTCGTCAACCACCAGCAGGAAGTAGCGCTCGTGACCCTGTCCACGGACGCGGGCCGGCCCCCACACGTCCATGTGAAGCGTCTGCAGCGGGGCCTCTGTTGGGGGAAACTGAGAGGAGTGAGGGGCAGCCCGCAGCCGCCCCTCGACAGAGGGGACGCAGGTGGGGCCAGGCCCCGGAGGATGGGGAGGGAGGGACCGGGGAAGACCAGAGACAAGGACACGGGAGGCCATGCCTCGGAGACGAGGCAGGGAGGGGTGACCAAGGCGGTGGTGCCAGAGGAGAGTCTCGTGAGACAGGAGGCGATACGAGCAGAGGGCAGACTCAGGACCAGACCTGGACGCTGCAGCAAACACCTGATTCGACGCAGCTACCTGACCAGACGCAGGGACAGGAGGAGACTCAGTGGTCAGGGTGTACAGGCTCGACCCCGGCCGACGCGTAAACGTGGCCAGGTGCCGGCCTGTGCGAGCGTCCGAGCAGTGGGTCACCCGCTGACTCGCAGGAGTAAACTGGTGAACCCCCGCATCCTGTAGGTCAGCACCACTCACCAAGTTCGTAGAGAACGAGGGGAGGTAAAGACCAGACAAGGTGCCAGAGGGGGTCGCCGGACACGGGAGGACAGTGAAGAAGTGAGAAAGGACAGGATCCCCAGAGGGGTCAGCCAGGGAGACTGCAACCAGCCGACCAAGCGGCGTGAGTGTGGTGCGGTCTCGAAAGAAGGAGCGAGAAGCCCCTGAGTCAAGTGTGAAGGTGAGGGAGGCCGAAGCCGACGCAGTACCTGCGAGCGCTGACGCACCAGCACCTGAGGACGCAGACGCACTTGCACCTAGAGCAGCAGCCTCACTGGCACCTAGAGCAGCAGCCTCACCAGTACCTAGAGTAGCAGTCTCAATGTCCGGGTCGGGCGGGAAACACCGGTAACAGTCACCCTCATCACTAATAGACACGGCATACATGGCAGAAAGGATAGCATCAAAATCAAGATCAAAGATGGCAACTTCCGCCCTAGACAGCTCGCCCCAGCGAGGGATCTCTGTGGCCTCCGGGAACTGGTGACGCCATGCGTCCGTCAGGCGGCCAAATCTGCGCTGGGTGGGGTGCGCACCCCCACACTGCTCACCCGCACGGTCGCCGGTGTGCAGGACGTAGGCGCACGGACCAAAACCCCCACCCTGCTGGCGTGCAGTGTACAACTTACGGAGGTGCTGAGGGGACAGGGTCTCTTGACCGCGCTACTGCTGCTGGCGCGGACCACCACCGGAGCCACTCCTCTGCGTAGACCCGCGACCAGCTCCACCGCCACCCCCGCCGCCTCCGCCGCCTCCGCCGCCTCCGCTACTACCGCCGCCTCCGCCGCCTCCTCCATCGCCACCACCTCCGCCACCTCCGCTCCCACCGCCACCGCCGCCGCCGCCTCTGCCTCCACTGCCGCCACCGACACCTCCACCCCCACCTCCACTCCCACCGCCACCCCCACTCCCCCCGCCGCCTCCACCTCCTCCTCCACCGCCCTCGCTCGCTCCTCCAGTGCCCCTGCCCCCCTTGCCCTTGCCAGAGCGGCGTCTTTCGCTAGGGGCGGACGCCGCACTGACCAACTCAAGACCAAGGAGGTCGGCCGCAGCAGCAGAGGCAACAGAGGGCAGAAGGGGGGAGGGGGAACACCCCTCAAAGATGGGGGTGCGCGGGTCACCACGAGAGGCCCATACAGCGACTATGCTCTTCTCGGCCGCTAGGAGGGACTTCTCGAGGAGGTCAACAGTGAGAGTGGTGGGACAGACTGAGAGGAAGTGGTCCCTGACTACGCGAAGGGAGTCAGGGAGGCGAGTGACTATGTAGTAGAGAGTGATGTACATGGGGGGGGGGTTCTTGGCGCAGAAGTCAGCAGGAAGCGCAGCGCGGTAGCGATTGTCACTAGTGCGGAGGTGCGTAATGAGGTCAGCGAATGTGGGAAAGGCAGCAAGGTCAGGGAAGAGGTACGGTAGCATGAGACGGCTCAGTGCAGCAGTGGCAGGGGAGGAGTAGCGTGCAACTACAGCCTCGTACAAGGTCTGAGCACTCTTGTACTGACTAAAGTGCGCACGCTCAGAGGTAGGGAGGTGGCGACGCACAACAAGACGTGCAGCAGCATCGCGCGTGGCCCATTGTGAGCGAACAGTGGCGTCAGCATCAGCAGCAGGAGCAGGAGAGGCACCAGAGGTGAGGTCAAAGAGGGAGAGACCGTCTGCCCTACCGCACTGTAAGAACTGCTGCAGGTCATCTACCCAGACGTGAAAGTCAATGGCTCGACCCTCGGCGTCAAAAGTGAGGACACTAGGGGTAGCCATGACAACAGTAGATTAGCAGCGCACACAGTAGGGAAAGGGCAGTGCAGTGACAGAGGCGCTGTGCTTACCGGACGGGGCTGCTCGAGCGGCTTGGAGGTAGGGCGGCTCGGTGGCTCGGCTGCACGGCGGCTCGGCTGCTGGGCGGCTCGGCTGCTGGGCGGCTCGGCTGCTGGGCGGCTCGGCTGCAGGTCGGCTCGGCTGCTGGGCGGCTCGGCTGCTCGGCTGTCCGGCTGCTCAGCTGCTGGGCGGCTCGGCTGTTCTGCTGTACGCTGGCGCGGCGGTCGGCTGCTCGGCTAGGTGAGGCGGCTCGGGCGGCTCGGGTGGCGGGCGGCGCTGCAGTAGATGACGAGGCCGCAGGGAAGGCGGCAGGGCCGCAAGTGAGGGCGGCGGGGACCGCAAATAAGGGCGGAGGGGACCGCAGATAATGGCGGCGGGGACCGCAGGTGAGGGCGGTGGGGCCGCAGGTAGGGCGGGTGGGCCGCAAGTAGGGCGGCTGGGCCGCAGGTAGGGCGGCGGGGTCGGGCCGTAGGTAGGGCGACGGGGCCGGGTCGAAGGTAGGGCGACGGGGCCGGTACGCAGGTAGGGCGACGGGGCCGGGGCGCAGGTAGGGCGACGGGGCCGGGGCCGAGGCGCAGGTAGGGCGACGGGGCCGGGGTCGGAGGTGGGGCGACGGGGCCGGGGTCGCAAGCAGGGCGACGGGGCCGAGGCCGGGGCACAAGTAGGGCGACGGGGCTATGACTGGGGCCGCAGGTATGGCGACGGGGCCAGGGTCGCAGGTGGGGCGACGGGGCCGGGGTCGCACGTAGGGCGACGGGGCCGAGGCGCAGGTAGGGCGACGGGGCCGGGGCCGTAGGAATCAGGGGCCGCTAAGGCGGCGCTACTTGGCCGCTAGGGCGGCTCGACGAAGTCAAAGAGGGGAGCGCGACTCGGGCTGAGCGCGCTCCGGGCAGGAAAAAAAAAAAACTTTCGACTTGGTGGGCCCTAGGCACAGTTCCCACGAGGGAACCTGCTCGATACCATGAGAAAACTGAAACGAGAATGATGCACTAAGGAATGGAATGTGGTACAAATATGCAACCCTAGAAATGTGTACCCCATATGGGCTACTCCACTACAGCCTACAGAACATTATGATTTGACACATGTAATGGAGAATACCGCTGCTGCTCACAATTGTGCTGCCAAGAAGCTGAAATCTGGTTCGTGTTCGGCACGGCAGAAGTGGCGGCAGCAACCTAAGTCGAGTTTCACTCGCAGGGCTCATGCATACGGTAGCAATGTTCAATGCTGGCAAGAAGCGCCGCCCTGCTCAAGAGTTCCTATACCGTATTAACTAATGCTCACTGCTAAGCTTATTCTGTTAGAACCAGGCACTGGTGCTTTAGTTGCTCTGTTAGTTAGTGCCATCTTTAATACGTAATCCACGCTTAAGTCTAAACATGAAAGGGTGAAAACAATGTGCACACTGATGAGCAAGAGTACCTTTCCAGCTGACACTGATAAAAAAGACTGACATGGCTGACCCAACCTTACTGAAAGACCAACTTCAGCGAACTGGCCTTGCGAGTAAGAGTGCCCCAAATCCTATCCAGAGGCCTGGCTGAGTGGGAGAACTGGCGAGAAATTGGGGTGGGGGGAAGGAAGAGGAATAAGAGCAGAGCAGGTGTGCTTGTCGAGTCGAGAGGAACCAGAAAACAAGAACCAAGAAAAGAGCGCAGAAATTGAGTTGGCAGCTGTGAAAGGGACGGATGCTAGCGCAGAGATGAAATTTCTGCCAGCGCAGAACAAGACAATTTCTGCCACCGCAGAACGATACAATTTCTGCCAGCGCAGAACAAGACAATTTCTGCCACCGCAGAACGATACAATTTCTGCCAGCGCAGAACAAAGCACCACATACAGTATACCGTTTTAAGTTAATAATTGGTCTAGTCGTAATTGTAACACACATACGGATATGCGTTATGAGAAAAACCAATTACAGATGGGGAGATCATGCATGGAGATCAGTCAGCTCATATCGAGTTTCCAGCACCAACGCAACCCATACGACGTTGAACGTCGAGTCTTGTTTGACATCGTATGTGTCTGCGTAGGTCCAATTAGGTCATGGTGAAGGTGTTATCCCACTAGAATCGCTACGTCCACGACTCGTAGTGTTGTAGTAGAACATTTTAGCCACCCTGTGATGTAGGCTTCATCACACCAGAAGTGATGTGGGCTCATCGCTACGTCTTTGCTGCCGTTTCGCCACAAGTCGATGGGATTGCCCTTTCAATCTGTAGTACGCCGGTTGTAGGGCATGGGTGTCGCAGGGCACGGTCAGTCGCAGGCCTGTAGCAGGGCATTGGGTCTGGCGTGGAACGAACCGTCGCCATCAGGTTCACATGGAGTCCTTTCTTCAACTCCGAGTTCAGGTCAGGTTCGGACATCGTATCCTGCTACTGCATGTGCAGGGCCATCGTCGTACAGGACACGCACCATTTATCGAGTCAGACTCGTACTTTCGCCGATGTCGCATTACATGCAGGATAGCGGACATCGTGTCGCGCCGAAGTTCCAAAGTCGCCCCTTGCTCTCCCAAGCGGGTATATCTACCCACTCTCGGCTTTCAACTGCTTACTTCATTCCTGCAGTCTCAGACTGACCAGCAATTACCACTAGCCTGCGTTGCCATCGTTAGTAGGTTTCGACTCGGAGTCACCGGTACTAATACCACCTAAAGCCAACCCAGTCCCCCGAGCCGCATCATCTGCCGCAGTGCAACGCAATGGCCGGCGCCGCGGGCCTTCTCCCCGTGCTCGTCCTCGCAGCGTTGCTGCTTCAAGCGCCTTCCACCGCGTCCGCCCGCCTCTGGATCTGGAACGGCGGCCTCGTCCCCTTCATCCCGGAGCAACGCGCAGCGGAGGCCGTGCTCACCGCCGCGGAGTCCGCCAGAGCGACGGGGCCTGCCGCCGGTACCGTCGCTGCTGGCACGGAGACGGATCCGCCGCTCTCGCCCCCGCCAGTTTCAGCCGCAGCCCCGACGCCAGCTCCGACGCCAGCCCCGGCGGCGGCTCCTGCGGCGGCGCCCGCGCCAGCTCCTGCCGAAACGTGCGACGACGCGCCAGTGGACCCTTCGATCGTGTCTGGGTCCGCGCCCGATCCGTGTGCTGCGCTGGCGGCGGAGCTAACGCGGAGTGTGGAGAAACAGGGGAACAAGACCGGAGGGAAATGGTCGCAGCCCCCTCTCTCTTCCAGGCTTGCTACTCGACATTTCTGTTCAGGTACTACTACCAGTAGAGCTTTCGCTCGCACTACCGCCGCGGCTGCGTTTTCTAGAGTTCTCTTCCATCCACGTTAGAAGCATCATGCCCCGCTTTCTTTTAAAGGTGCTTCTCAAACTCGAGCTTTCCTGACCGGATGATTTTGAGAACTTATGATGGCCTCGATTTTCCCTGTTTGTATCTGCCAGGCAGAAGTGCGACGTGGGGGCCTGCTGTCGATCGCGAACGCGTTTGACAATCACTACGTGTACAAGCACATCGCCGTTGACTCGCCGGACCAGACCAACCTGCCGAGCAGCATCGATATTGTCGCGGAGCTGAGAAAGATCGTTGCGAACGGCGAGAAGGGGAAGTACTCTCGGCTGGTGGACGCGCACATGGCGGCGTACACAGCGACCCTGGCGCTCAACGATGGGCACAGCATGTTCGTACTGAATTGTTTCCTTGGGACTTACGACTTGCCGTTGCCACTCATGGTTGTTGTGGAAGACGGGAAGCAGATCATTCGCGTTGCACCACGCCGATGTAAGTATTTGACACTCTTTCTGTTATGCGTTATGCGAGTGTTAGAAACGCTCTTCTCTGTTGTAGCACCTGTTCAATGATATTCCCCTGTGAAATACTTTACTTGCATCCAAAAGCGCTGTAATTTCTGTCTTATTTGTTCCCTCTGGTCATCAGATGTCATTCCCAAGGGTATGCGACATGTCGCGAAGGTTTTGCATAATTTTGACTTCGACATTTACGAGGGCCGACGGGTATGTTACGGAATTAAGTGGAAGTCAATGTCTATGCCATTCAAGCAGCTGGTTAGTTTGAGTGCGTCCTTCTAGTGAGCTTTACACACCCAACCTACAAATTTGTTTTCAATGCTTCATGTGACGTCCCAGGTGGTGGCTATTAACGGGGAAAAGGCGGAAGATTTTATCCTGAACTGGGCAGACAAGGAATTGGGCATGTTTTGCAACCGGGCCGCGAGATTCACGAAATCCTTTGCGAGGAATGAGGCAGAAACAATGCTTGACGGGACGAACATTGTCCAGGTGCCAGGCGACTTCGTGCGACGATCCATTGCTCCCGAAAACAACACCCTATTGGTGTCCTTCGCAACAACGTGAGCTACTGTACTGGATGCTCATTGGCTCTTCCTTTCGCAGTGTGTGTCGTTTACTCCCCCGTTTCTTCCCTACAGTTCGCGTGCTGCGTTCAGCCCACTCGTCCCCTTTCACGCTTCATCCGTCCACCCACCCTGTTTATGTCGCACCCACTGCAACTCTCAGGGATGGAGGCTCAACGGAGGACGTACAGGTGCCATGGATCGGGACAACTAAGCGTGCTGACTTTGTGAATACGACGGGGTACTTTGTGCCATACCCAACGCATCAGGCGCTGCTGCTAGCGACACCAGCAGCCCGCAGGCAACCACGCTCACTTCCATCGGCCATAAGGCAGACATTCCAGTGATGGACAAGTCTCTCAAGCGCCACCCTGATCCAGTGTACTACGGCGATACCAGCGATGACAGCGACGACCTGAATGTCGAGATTGCGTCGCTTTCTGCAGCGGCAGATGGCTCTTCTGGTGCAGTAGCGGGGCAGACTGTAACGCGGATCTCACCAAAGGGTGAATAGTTTTCTGGTGAGCGGGATGGCTTCAGTTGTTGGGGTGAATGTTGGAGGCTGTGGGGTTCCTGTGTGATGGGTGCTTGGGTTTTTATCAATGTTGTTAATCTAAAGACGCCTGGGGCTTGCTGTTTGTACCGGTTGGTGTGTGTCGTCTAGGGGCTTGGGGCTTGCGTGTAACAGCAACTGACTGCCATGTGACATGCTCTGATCTGATCTCACTCGAGGCGCTCTCCGCACTTTGTCGTGAATCCCCTCTGCTGTCCCTTCCTTCTCACTCTCCCTTGCATCCCTGCCTGACTTCCTCACTCCCTCTCCCTCCACCTCTCATCCAGGTGACCGGCTCATCCCTTCTTCCTCCTGGCGTATGTAATCACTCTGTTCTGATCCCCTCCTCGTATCTCAGGCTTCCCAGATACCTCGCCCTCTTCTCCGCTAATCCCGCCCACAGGCTCGGCTCGTCCGCTTCAATCGTCGCCGAGAGCAGCTTCGGTGCATCCACAGGTAGCACCGGGTCCCGTCCGTACAGTAGATGATACGGGGACAAATGCTTCAGCGCTGCCTGCTTCGCAAACCGGTATCCCGCAAGCACCCACCAGAGATCCCTGTCCCAACTCCTCTTGTGTGTCTCTCCATAGGCCCGAAGTCCTTTCTTCACGGTTTGTATGAGCCTCTCTGTCAGCCCGTCCGATTGAGGGTGATACCTTGAGGTGACACGATGCGTAATGCCCATCTCCTCTAGCAGCTCATCAAAGCTCCCTTGAAATTCTGTCCCTTGATCGGTAAGCACCTCCCCACATGCACCGTACCTGGTCAGTACTAACTCCTCGAATGCGTCCGCTATCAGTGCGCTACTCTTGCTTGGTAATGCTCGCGCCTCCACCCATTTGCTCGTGTGCTCAACCATGATCAGGATGTACTGCTTCCCTCCTTTTGATAATGGTAACTCTCCTGCCAGGTCCAGCGACCACCTGTAACCTAACCCCCGAATCGGTAGTGAGTGCAGCTCCTCCCTCTCCTTTTCCAGCCTTGCTTTATTCCTTTGACAAGCCTCGCAGCTGGCTACCAGTCCTGCCACATCCTTCCCCATGCTTGCCCACCAGTACATGGTGCTCAGCAGCTGCCGTGTCCTGGTGATGCCGTAATGTCCCAGCTTCGCATGCACCTTCCCCATGATCCTGTTCCTCTCTTGCGGCTGCGGCACTACCCTCCATCCTTCGCTGGTCCTCAGCTGCAGCTGCTCCTGAAACCATCTGTAATGCTGCCCTCTGGCTCTTGCTCTCTCACTTACGCCTTCCTCCTCCAGTGGCTCCCCTTTGATCCAGCTCATGGTCTCCTCGTCCTCCCATATATCTGCTAACCGCTTCTCTCCCTTCTCCTGCCCCCAGCTTACGGCCACGGTGTGGGCTAAGGCCGCCAGCTGCGCTACCGGCTGCATCGGTGGTGGGTTCCTTGACAGCCCATCTGCATGCTGCAGTGTTTTACCCGGTCGGTGCCGGATCTCAAAGTCAAATCCCAACAACTTGATAGCCCATCGAGCGTTTCTTCCCGTCAGCTCTTGATTAGTCATCAACCATAGCAGTGGCTGATGATCAGTCACTAATGTGAAGTGCCGGCCCTGCAGGTATACCTTGAAATGCGTGATTCCCCACACTGCCGTCAGGCCCTCTCCCTCGTATGAGCAGTAGTTAGCCTCGGATGGGCTGCAGCTTCGGCTGGCAAAGGCTATCACTCTTTCCTCTCCCTCGATTTCTTGGCAGAGCACCGCTCCCATTCCCGTACTGCTCCAGTCCGTGTACAGGATGAAAGGCGCTTCTGCCCTCGGTATCTGCAGTAAGGTCCCTGTCCTAACTGCTTCGAGCAAGTCCTGCCTTGCTGCCTCCTCCACCTCTCCCCATTGCCAGCTCTTCCCTTCCCTCAGCAGCTGGTTCAGCACGTAGGCACGGCGACTGAAGTTTGACACAAACTTCCTGTAATAATTCAGGAAGCCGAGTAACGCCCGCAGCCCTGTCTTATCCTTTGGCGCTGCCAGGTTCTCCAGCACCTTAACCTTTGCCTCTTGTATGGCCAGCCGACCGCCCTTCACTTCAAACCCCAGGTAAGCCACCGTGTGCCTCGCTATCTTACACTTATCTGGGTGACACGTCAGCCCCGCAGCTGCTATTGCCTCCAGAGTCTGCTTCAGATCTTGCACATGCTGTTCTTTGCTGCTGCTGTAAATCAACACGTCATCAATGTAGCATGCTGCGGCTGGAACCCCCTTCAGCACTTGATCCATGGCTCTCTGGAACACTGCTGGTGCGTTACGAAGCCCGAAAGGCATAACGTTGTACTCATACAAACCGTCCACCCCGTGAAATGCTGTTTTCCGTTTATCTGCTTCTCTAATGCCTATTTGATTGAAGCCCTGCCGCAGGTCCAAGGTGGTAAAGACGGTGGCCCCTTCCAGCCGGTCGAAAATGTCTTCAGCAGTCGGCATAGGGTATCTGTCTGGGCTTGTAATCTTGTTCAGCTCCCGAAAATCCCCGCACATCCGCTTCGCTAGAATCTTTCCCGTGATGTCCTTCCTAGCAGCCACCACCGTGGCCGCCGCGTAACTTGATTCTGACGGGCGAATAATCCCTGCAGCTAGCAACTCCTCACATTTCTCCTTGCAGATGGCTGCATCCTCCGCATTCATTCGCCTCCTGCGTTGGTATGTAGGTAGCTCAGTCGTGAGGTTCAGCTCCAGCTCTCTCCCCTTGTATCTCCCCAATTCCTGCAGGTTATAGGCGAAGGTGCCCCTATGCTGCTGCAACACCTCCCTGATTGCTTCGGCTGCTTGCTCCCCTATACCTGCCCCCAGCTCCCAGGTTTTGCCCGGCTCTGCTTCCGTCCCTACTGGTGGTGCAGTTTTGATCTCCTTCTCGTCTGTGAGCTTGCTGACAGCGGCGTAAGCAGCCTGCTTGCTACCCCTGCACTTCTCCTCTTCCGTCTTTCCCTTTTTCTCGGCTGGCCCCTTTCTCATCTCACTAATTAGCCATCGCAGTGAGTGCTGGTCTATGGCTCGGCCCAAGGCAGCTTTGCGCACCTCCTCCCCTACTCCATCTGCTGCAGTTGCCCCCGGCAGGTACCCCATGGCTAATTCCCTCTCCAAAGCAGTCGGCTCCTCCCATCTTTTCTTACGGTGATCATACACCATCCCTGGACCTGGAGTCCCTTCCACTTCGACAAATCCCCGTGCCTTTGCATAGGCCACCAGTGTCGGCCAGGCCCTCCTCGCTTCCCCCACTCGGTTACACTGATACTGTCGCGGATGATCTGGCTTTACCACTGGGGCGGCCACTCTCCCTGGTTCCAGAATGTCTTCCACGATTCGGCTCTCATCTCTCTCCACCCTTGCTAATCTCGCCCTCAGTTCTCCTTCTGGCAGGACGTTCTGCCAGTACTGCCGCACTCTATGACACCTTGCCCCCAGCTGTGCCCCGTCACAACTCACTCCCCTTCCCAATTCTGCTTCCACCAGTTCGCGTACGGCTCGGACCGGCTCCCTGCTATCACTCCTCATATCCACATGTTCTAGGATGTACGCATATTCCCCGCCAGATTCTCTCGCCCACCTCATAATCGTCAGCAGTGTTGTCACCATCGCCGTGCGGTCATCCTGCATTCCTCTTCCCTTCCCCGCTCGGGAAGTACCCTGGCACTCCCACCCTGCTACCAACAGGTCCACCTTTCCCCAGCGGTTCACGTCTTCCTTGGTAAGCTGTCCCACATCCCACTTCTCATTCTGCATGGCCTCCCGTATCACTTCCTTCGCCAGTTGAGCTGGGTACCGCTGCTGCAGTATCTGTGCATGCTTCCAAGCCATCCTCCTCACCTCCGGGTCTATTTCCACATACACCCATCTTTTCACCTTCAGCCCTGCTTCCAGTGCCGCCGCTAAGCCTGCCCCCAGCCCTCCAAACAGCTCCACTAAGGTAACGCTATACTGGTTCAGGTTAGCTCCGACCTTGCCCTCTTTGGTACTCCCCCTCCTTACGCTCTCTCTTCTCATGCCCTCCGCCCTCCAAGCCTTCTTCGGTTCTGTCTTGACAAACCGCACTGGCAGCTCACTCAACTCCTTTCCCTCAATCCAGAAATCCGAGCGGTAGAGCACCTGTTCCTGCCAGGTACAAATTGTTGTACCTATCTTGAATAGCAGCTCCATCCCCAGCAGAACATCATAATCCTCCGATTCGGTCAGCCCACATTGCACTCTTATCGTCGTTTCTCCCTTCTCTCCCGGCTGCAGAGTAATCTCGATGGGGTCCTTAGTACAGGGCATCCACTTTGGTGCCCCTCCCTCGGCTGTCATGATCAGTATGCCTCTGTTTACTATTTCCAAGTCCCCTTTCTCCCGTAACTGTTCTGTCAGCTTCCTTCCCAGCAGGACACTCTGTGCGCCTGTATCCACCACGGCGTTCTCCACTAATATGCCCCTGACAGCCACTGCCTTAGGTTCTACCACCAGGGCCGTGGGTTGGCAGACGAGTCTCTCCTCAGGATGCCGTCGAGCCGTCCTCGGCTTATGGCTTTCTTCTTGTTGCCGAGGGGTTCTCCTTTCAGGCTGCTTCTGCTCTGTCCTGCCATCCTTCCCGCCGCTGCGCAGCCCCAACTCCTCTCGGTCTCTAGGTGGTATGGCCATGGCCCCGTACTCTGCCTCCTCTCTCTCATACTCCTCCTCTTCATCGTCCTCCCAAGCCAGCAATGCCTTCTCAGGGTCCTCACTAATCTCAGTCTTCTCCAACTGTCCCTTCAGCTTCGCCACCTCTCTCTCTAACTGTAACTCCCTTGCCGATTTTCCTCGCATTCTCTCTCCCTTGCTGTAGCACCTGTCTTCAGTATGCCCCCTTTTCCCACACCCGGTGCAGATAGGTGCCTTGGGGCAGTCACGTCTGAAATGTCCTTTCATCTTGCAGGTGTCGCACACTATGTCTATGGCGCAGTCCTTCCGCACGTGCCCCTTTTCGCCGCACTTGTAACACCTGCGTCTATCTTCAGACGGCCTCTCTCTTCGTTCCTCTTCCCCCTGTCTCCCTTCCACCGCTGCCCAAGCAGGCCTCCGACGTTCGCTCGGCCGACTGAAGCTTGACCCCCTCATTCCTTCGAAAAACCTCTTTCCATCCTCCACTTCTTTCGCCACCTGGTACACCTGTCGCAGCTTCGCCCGTACCCCCAAGGAGTATAGTCGGCTTCTCATGTCTCGTATCAAGTCCCCATCCAGTCCGTTGACGAACTTGGTCACTAGGATGCGCTCCTCCACGCAGCCCATATCCTCTGCCAGCTCCAGTAAACGGTTATAGTAGGCCAACATCGACTCTGCCGGCGCTCTTCTGAAGTCTTGAAACTCCGCCATCCGGTCCGCCGAATGCCCCGGGAACTGCTCCTGCAGGCTTTCCAAGAAACGGTCCGTAATATCTGCCGGTAAGATATCTCCTCTGTTGCTCCGCATCAGCAGCCCCTGCCTCTCCACGCGGTAATGAGTCAACGCCTCTCCTTTGAGAGTCCTCCCCAAGCCTCTGAAAAATTCAATAGGATCCAGTCGCTCCCTATCCCAGCAGTAGCGAATGTCTTCAATCATCATCAGGTAGTTTTTCAGCGTGGGCTCCTCTCCGGGTGCCCCCGAGAAGCGGTCTGGTACCTCAATTTTGGGGGGTGTAGTACTCATCGACCTGCCTGTCCCCCAGCTTGTGTTCCCTCCTTCTCCACTCCCTGCAGGTCGCCCTGCTCTCCCGGCCTCCATGGCTTCGTATCCTCCAGCAGAGAATCCGTGATATGCTTCCTTGCCTCGCTGACTTCGTCGTTCCACCGATTGATCGTCTCCTCCCCTCAGACTACGCCTTTCTTCACGTTGATCTTCTTCTCCTCTCTGACTCCGCCGTTCTTCTCGATGATCTTCCCCTCCCTTCTGACTTCGTCGATCTTCATGTTGATCGTCTCCTCCCAGATCTGGATTTCCTCGGCGAGATCCACTCCCCACAGGTCGCCCTCCACTCCTCTCCGCGGGCGAGTCGCATGCAGAGCTCGACTGTTGTTCTCCGTGTACACCTCGTTCTTCCTCCCGATCCCCGCCTTGGTTACCGCGCGAGATCGTCCCTCCTTCGCCCGCCCGAAATCCAGGCATCCTGACCGGCGGATCACGTCCCTCCATCATCCTCGCCGGGAATCGGTGTCCAGAGCGCAGTTGATGAGTGTGAAGCTCACGGTCGAAATTACTCATTCCTCACGGTGCATCACCGTGGGCAACTCCAGGCAGTAGATCCTGCCACCTCTTCTCTCAACAATCGTAATCCTGACTACCCTTTTTGCTTGTATGAAACAAGACTTAACTCCCTCGCAAGGGCTCCGCCGATTTGCTTCAGCTCCTCTCTACTGCTAGTTCCCCGTGGTTTAGGAAATCACAATTGCAGTAAACGAGAAACATACAAGCAAAAAGCAACGAGTCTGAGCGCTACCCCAGTCTACATCCCCTCCTGCCTAGGTGCCTTGTCCCGCAAGCTACCTCTACTCCTAAGCGCGAGTCAGCCGAGCTGATCGCGTAGGCTTCAAGGTGCTAGCTGGGTCCCACTCGGCCCACTAGGCATGCACCGCCTTCCAGCCTGGTGAATGGCGAATTGAATTCCCAGGCTGGCTGGAATCGAATTCGCCACCAACCTCCCCCCCAACCACCTCGAAATCCTCAGCAGCTCGACTCTGTATAGTACAGTAACATTCCAAAAGAGCAAACAAAGTAAAATGCAAAAAGCAGTAAACTATAGTACACCTCACCTTGGCTGCTGTGTAATTCACACTTAGTTGCCAGCTAAGTGTTAATCACGCGACAACTTACGCAAACCTAAAACGTGCGCCCAACTTGCTTGTGTGTCGGTGTGTGTGTGTGTGTGCGTGCACATGCGCACATGTGTGCATGTGAGCGTGCAGGTATACCTGGTGGGCGGAAGCACGGCTGTGATCTGGATTCACACATTCACTCCCAGTGATGCAGTGTCAGAGGTGCTGGCGGAGAGAAATGTGAATGCGGAGAAGTACATGGTGCAGGAGGTCGCCAAAGCTCTTCTCACCGCGGCAGCGTCAGTACTCCTCTTGCAGCCCCCCTTCCTTCTAGGCTTCTACTTCCCCCACCAGTCCCCCTTCCTTCTACCCCTTCCAGTCCCACTTCCTTCTACCCCTTCCAGCCCCCCTTCCTTCTACCTGTTCCAGCCCCCCTTCCTTCTACCCGTTCCAGCCCCCCTTCCTTCTACCCGTTCCAGCCCCCCTTCCTTCTACCCCTTCCAGCCCCGCTTCCTTCTACCCCTTCCAGCCCTCCTTCCTACCCTGCTCTTTGTTTCATGCTATTCACCTGACATTCTGACCTCATCACTTTCCCACCCACCCTCCTTTCCCTACTTGCTCATTCCCCCGTGCCTCTGTCCATGTGTTCCCGCACACGTCCCTTCACAATCCCCCGATGCCTTCCCCCACGCTCCCCACCATGCCTCTCTCTTCAGATCCAACGCCACTCAAATCATAATAGACGTGCGTGGCAACGGTGGCAGCCACACCGCAGCAGCATACACAGCCATCCGCCTGCTCATGGGGGCAGCCAAGGTCCCGGACTCGGAATTCTCCATGCCCGTGGATTTCATCATCGGCACCCCGTACACCGAGAATGCCATCAGCGCTCTCTCCCTCGATCCCAATACGCACTACTACTACAGAGGATACTCCGACCTCAACGGAACGACACTCACAAGCGCCTTTGACTACGCTCCTTTTCGCAAGCTCCGCTTCACAGTAGTCTTATGCTGATGAACGGTGGCCAGCTAGCTGTTTGGCTGACGATGTTTATTTGCAAAATGTGTTGATGGGGGTGAGCTACATTATCATGCTGATAAGTTGTGTTTTTTTTTATCCACCAGGTTTCACAGATGGTAAGGTAGCTGTTGCTAATATCTAGAATGATGTTGATGCCGTTTCACCCTTAGAGGTGCACCTACCAGCGCCGTATTTGGCTGGATAGTGGATCCAGGCTGGCATCCCTGAAAAGTAGGAAGGCGCCTTGCACCCTACCAAGTTACGGTAAAGTTTTCTTTGTAACACACCCTGTCGTTCTCACAATCCACTTCTAAGTGATGCAGCGAACTCTGAACGTGTGATGCCAGTTCAGTGTGTGCGGTTTAGTGAGTGCGGCTGTCAACATGTCAGCAAAACATTAAAGAATGTTCGACCCAAAAGAAGCATTTCAGGAGTGGGAGGGAGGGAGACGAGGGGGTGGGGGAGGTAGTCCGCTCGGTTGCTCGTTTTACTGTCAAGGCCGCTACGAATTCTGTCCGTACTTCATTTCGTGAAGGATCTTTATCAGTTGGATTCGAACAAAGAACACTAGATTGATTCTGCAAATTAGATATGAACCTATAGATACACTTCTTGTGTCCATTTCACGGAAATAGTGCCTATTCCTCCGTAGGATCTGTTCATGGGTTTAGGCCATAAGTCCTTCACACTAAGATCGCGACTACACTGGAACACCATCAGCTGGATTACAAACTGGGAATAGATCACAAACTCTGTGAACAATACCATCAACTGCAACAGTGTTCGTAGGGATCATGTGCTCAAACCACAAGTAGTTCATGATTTCAGCACTTTCTCACTTCGAGTGCTGCTTTTCTCAAGCATCATTGCACGATGCCTCCAAGAGGAAGAAGGGCGTCGGTCGAAGTTGTCACCCCTGATGATGGCTCTTCTCCCGCGTGGCATGTGGACACAGTCAAGAAGCAAGAGGAAGGGAAACAATCAGCGGATTCAACACCTGTGAATGAAGGAGCTGACGAGAATCATGGAGCCAGCAGCTCTGGTCTCTCTTTGGAGTGTAAACTAAAGACGATTGCCATCTCTGATGCGTTTGACGACGGGTTTCTTAGGGAGGAATTCGACAATGAACTCGACATTGACTTTCCCAAGGAAGTTGCATTGCGTCTTCGTGTTACCAATGTTTTGATAATACCTGTCGTTTTGCATTTTAAAACGTTGGTTTATGTAATTTCAACGATCGAGACATTGACGAAGACATTATGAATCTCTTACTCAGACATTGCCAACTTCCAAGTTATGTAGCCATCCTTCATTGCGAAGATCCGGTTTTGCGGTCTTCAAATCTCCTTCCTTTAGGAATATGATGCGGACAACATCAAGAGGCATGGAGTGGAATATCTGAGATATAACGGCACAACGACCAAACTCTGCTGGCAGCACACTGAGAACCCAATCTACGGTAGAAACTTTTCATTGGACTTCACGAAACCCAACTCTTATCCTTACCTTGCAACCAATAACATGTTGGTTGTTTCTTGCATCGGCCTCGATCTGCACCTTGCAACTGGTGTACACCATCCTCTGGGACCCGACGATCGTACCCATTTTAACCGCGAGCAATAGTAAAGAGTGGATTTGTATGCAAGCTCGAAAAGGGAAAGCGAAGAGGAAGTCCTTCACAGCTGTTACATATCTTGTGAACTTGGTGACTCACCTGGTCAATCTGAAGAACCTGGACTCCGCCATCCGATCCTCACTTGACAAAGGCGAACCTCAGCACCGTCCGGAAGTAATACAATGTAGCCATGCATCAGCTGGGTAAGGGTACATTCGGCTGTTGACCATGTCCCAATCGATATGTCCCAATCGATTTTAGCCCGAGTCGCGCTCAAATGTTTCGAGTCTGCATGTCCCAATCGATCGATGTATTGCGACTCTGCACAGACGCGCGACAATTATATGCGATCGACTGTGATTGGTCAGAGAACAATTTGACCCACTCGTGAGGGGTTGGGAGGAGGAGGATTTGTGGGGTGGGAGCACTGGAACAGGGGGAGGGCGCGCTGGTGGGGGCGTGCGCATCCCTGTCAATAATTCCGGGAGTGTCCAATCGACCAATCACGAAGCTGTGTACGCGTTGTTGGGGATAAGGGGGTTTTTCCAATGTTGTCCAGATACATGCTGCATGAGTTGACATTTGGCACCGCGTGCGACTACTGGGGTGTGTTGCAATTAGCTGGCGAATGTTCCGTGTTTCACGTCACCCAATGATAAATACATTTGGCGACAACGACAGGCGGCCCGGCATTCTGACACCTGGCAGCATATGCTGTACGTACGCGTCCCAATCGATTGGGACATGGTCCACAGCGGAATGTACCCTAAGAGGTCCTTAGCAAGAGTAGGATGGTGCTTGATGTTGGGTTCGATTGCTCTCTACAATGTGCGGATGCCTAAGGGCCGGCATTAATAGACATCATGATCCTCTCAACAACTAAAATAGCAACATTCCGTTACTTCTGATTTCACTGATACATTCATCCGTAATCACAACTTCACCTATCCAGCGAGAGCCGGCGATTTAATTGTCGTTTGCGGGAATCCCCACATCCAGGTACAGGGTACCTTCACTTGTACTGGTAGACTTGTAATGGTTGAGGTGCGAGGTCTTGTCTTGCATCTTTTGTTGCTTGCAACATACTTTCCTGTAAATGTGGTCTATAGAAGTGACTGTTATGTTGGGACTAGCACTCGATCAACCGCCAAGCAGCTCACATTTGCTCCTGAGAGGGGATGTAAACACACTTGAAGACCCCATCCTAGACAAGTCAATAAAAATAGGTAGAACAACAAAGAATGATAGATCAGTGCAGTAATGTCTAGATCTCTGAGCGGCGGGAGGTGTGGTGCTTCATACTTAGCAGCATGACGACCTACTTCCAGAATAGATCGTGCACTTATCTCTCAAGCACCCCTCCCACGCCTAAAATCAGCCACCAAAACTGATATCTGACCACAACTTCGCCATTCGGGTTGCCTTTCGAATGAGCAGTCACGTGTATACCGGTCATGGGCTTTGGTGATTGCATGGATTTGCGGTTGGCAAAGCAGGGGTCACAAAAGCAGTTGAAGCAACAACTGGGCAAGAGGAAGGTCAAACATGCCGGAATTTGAACCGAAACTCGCATGTCTCAATGCAGGCCTTTGGGCGTATATCAAAGAAGAAACTAGCCAAATAAAGCTCAAGGCCCAAATCGCGGGCCGCGTAGGGCAAGATTTGTAATCTTGCACACTTTTCGCTTTTTGTGTTGTATATTGGCGAAAAACTGGTTACGGTGGTTACGACGCAATCTGATTGGTCGAAGCAACACTCACTGCCAAAACATCAAGTTTCTCTACTCTACAATTTGGGACTCGAGGTCCTCAAACGCACGCTCCCCCCTGAAGCTTGCCAACTCAGCGAAAAGTCACGTGTTGCAGCGAAATCAGACAAGTCAACAACCCCACCCCCTAGCATCTTGCGCAATTTGGGCCTTGAGCTTTAAGGGGCACAACGGCACACCTCACCACTGGAGTGGCCGCCTTGAAGCATGGTAAGAACTCCTGGTTGCAGGAGGCAAAGGGAGGCCTTGATGGTGAAAGAGCTCTAACTGAAGGAGTATCATGCATCTCGTCATGGTAAGCTTCACGTGCGTGCGCCTCTTAGCAACAAGAAAATCGCAAAAGCAAACTCAAATTTCAGAACTGCAAGTGCTCGGTGCAGTGGTCAATGGCTCATAGGGTATTCAGCATGCTACGTCGAAATACTTAGCATATATTTCTGGAAAGGACTGCCGCACGAACCTAGAAAGTTGTGTCAGAATCCCAGTCACTAGACCATTGGGATAGAAGGGCTTGTTTCAGTAGCGGGTCAGTGCGCCCATAACCCCCCAGGCAAACGTGCCTGTAACCCTCTCCAGGATCGATCGGGCATCCACAGTGTAGATCTACTGACAGCCCCCCACACTGGGAGGCCCAGGACTAAGCACAGCGGCACCGGCCTACATGTGCATACACCGGGAATCGAACCCGAGACCGCTCTGATACCATGTCAGAATCCCAGTCACTAGACCATTGGGATAGAAGGGCTTGTTTCAGTAGCGGGTCAGTGCGCCCATAACCCCCCAAGCAAACGCGCCTGTAACCCTCTCCAGGATCGATCGGGCATCCACAGTGCAGATCTACTGACAAGTTGGTCATCATTGCCAGGCGGGAGGCTTGATTTTGAGGATGCAAAAAGCTTGGCGGCGGATTGGTTGGAGCAGTAGGTGAAACTGGCTTTTACGGCCGTGGCGAAGTACAAATTGTCGAGTAGTGGTGGTCTTTCGACGGAGTTCTTTGAGATGCACCGGGACATCCTGTGGTGGATTTTTATGTCCCAAGCGATGGAATTTGTCGAGACGACTTCGCTCCCTGCAAGCTTTAAAGAAGCAGTCACCATCCTCCAGCATAAGAAGGGAAAAATGGATGAGTTGACTAATTATCGTCGTATCAAACCTTCGAACTTTACTTACATAGTGCTAACGCGAGTGGTCGCATGCATAATGAAGAGAGTACTCCACGGAGTCATATCTCCCTAGAAATATGGTTACATACGGGGCAGAAGGCTCTCCAATGCGGTGGGGGTGGTTGCAGATGATATTGAAGCATCTTGTAACAGGGACGAAGACTGTTAGTGGTTGACTTCACAAAAGCCTTCGCCTCCATCTCGAAAGGTTTTATCTTCTCGGTGCTGAGGGCGATGGGCTTTCCCTCACGCTTCATCGAATGGGTGGAGGGCTTGCACAGTGGAGCATGCACGAAACTTCTGATAAACAGCAAGATAAGGGAAGCTTCTGGCTACTAGCAAAGAGAAGCTTCTTGGGAGGAACCTAAACAGACGCTCGGGAAGAAATGAGGGTTCAAGTGGGCCCGGTTGCTGGGGGTGTGGGTGCCGCCGTCCGAGAGCTGCCCTG